TTTTCTCGAACTTTTAAAGAAGTATGTCCAGAAGTTCTTTCATAAACGTCGAGCTAAACGGGTGGAAAAAAGTATGCCTCGCAACCGAATTGTTCACCTTAAATATAATTCTCCTTTTTTCCCGCCCATGGCTCATTAAATGGTCACAATAGCAAACAGTTGCTCGCCAATTTCACAACAGATCATTAAATATTATCAACAGCTTAGCCTTTCGCATTTGCAGTCACAGAACAGGGTATTGAATCGTGAAACTGGCAGTAATATGTAACATTTCTCTTATGTATTATTTAAATATATTTTTTCGTGCGATTTTTTAACAATTAAAACACAATATATATGACTGCTGACAATTTTTGTCATTCGTAATTACATTTTTTCTAAAAAATTCCCACAAGATATGAAGGTTGATTCAAAATAGTCATCAAGTTTAAATTTCTTAATTTAATCTTAATTTATAATTTAACAAATACAGTGTTCCAAATACCAAATCGAACATTTGATTTAGACTTGTCATTCTTGATATAATTTAAATTTCGCAAATACATTTTGTTTTTTGTATGTACAACGTTTTGGCGGATTGCGGAGCACAAGGATGTCAAATAAAGATCTTCAACTACATACATAATTACCATTTATTCAAATTTCAGTTATATTTAAAAAAATTTAATTTGTAAAAAAAGATGACTGTTTTATGGTGCAAATTTACCTTTATTATTCGCGAATAAAAATTATTTTCATAAATTTTTACCTTTTTATTTTTCTAAAAAGGGTATTCTTTAGGCAGGGTTAGTCCAAAAGACTCGTGGTTTTGATATAGGTTATTTATTTCACATCTAAGTAGCCGGTTGCTTTTCCTTTTTTTCTGCTCTTCATATGAAAAACCTAACTGTCACGCCTGTCCTCCCTTTGCGTTTTTTTATAAGGCAGCTATCCATTTTACCCTTCTCAAAGGGCATAAGAAAAATGAAATTGAAAGTGAAAAATTTTAAATGCCTCTATCTCGGCCAACAGGTTTTTTGATGATGGGTAGAAAAAAAGGAAAAACAGCCCGAAACATACATGTGCAATAAATAACCTATACCAAAACCACGCGTCTCTTGGATTAATCCTGCCTAATACCCTTTTTAGAAAGAAAAAAAAGTAAAAATATATAAAAAATAATGTACAGACGTGGAATCCTACAAAATAATAATAGTAAAAAATAATGCAGAGAACATTTTTTATTACTAAGTAAGCCAAATTGTTCGTTACTTTTATTAATACAAAAGTATTTATCTATTAAACCTCTTATCTAAAACTGTACGAAGGAAATTAGGAATAGCAGGCGAAAGAGATGTTTTGTCTTAAACCTTTTCCATTTCTCATGTCAAAAAAAAAAAAATCTTCAGTACTTGGTTAAGTTCTATGGATAACATTTGCTTATTTTCGAGCAACGTTACCCTCGAAGGAACTTTCGCAGATAGAAATATGAATAATTAAGTAAATCTAAATGTAATATGAAAATAAAAGTTTTCCATTAAAACTTATTACGTATTATATATTTTTAATATATTATAAATTGAACCTCATATTTTATTAAACATTTTCATATGAATAATTAAGTAAATCTAAATATGATATGACAATAAAAGCTCGATTTTCGCATTAAAGGCCTATTAGGTGTTTATCTATTAAATCCCTTATCCAAAACTGTACCAAGGAAATAGAAATAAGGAATACTCTGAATCAAGGTATGCTTTAGAAGAAAAAATTACATTCAGTTGTTACTGCATGCTTTCGACCTATTTTAAAGTCATCATCAGGGAAAAAAATCTTAAATATGTCTACATATTGGCATATCTTAAGTTTTTACATATTTACGCCTTTTTCTTCAACACCGAACTTTGATCCGAGTGTTCGTGAATGAAAACAAGTCGATACTTAAAATGCTGAAAACATAAATTAGTAATATCAGGCATAAAAGAGATTGTAGGACACGATGATAGGTAATAATTACATTGGCCATGGATAAGTGTGAAATTGAACCTCATTTTGTAGTAAACGTTTTTATTTCTCTTGGCAAAAACAAATATTCCTCAGTACTTGGTTAAGATCTATAAGTTAAGAACTTTCGCAATCAAAAATATGAATAACTAAGTAAAGCTTAAATATGATATGAAAATATATCATAATATAATATAAATTTAACTTCATATTGTATTAAATACTTTTATTTCTCTTAATAAAAAAAATTCTGTACGTGGTTAAGATCTTTGGATAACATTTGCTTATTTTCGAGCAAAGTTAAAGTCAAAGAAACTTTCGCAATCAGAAATATGAATAATTAAGTAAATCTAAATATGATATAAAAGCAAAAGTTTCCCATTAAAGACCAAACCACGTGTCTCCTAGGTCTACCCTGCCTAAGAATACCTTTTCAGAAAAATAAAAAAGGTAAAAATATATTAAAATAATGTAGACGTGGAATCCTACAGAAAAATAATAATAGAAAATAATGCAGAGAACTTTTCCTCTACCAAGTGAGCCAAATTGTTCGTTCTTTTTATTATTGGAAAACGTAGTTATCTATTAAACCTCTTATCTAAAACTGTACGAAGGAAATTAGGAACAGAAGGCCGAAAAAGATGTTTTTCCATTTCTCATGTAAAAAAAAAATATTCCTTAGTACTTGGTTAAGATCTATGGATAACATTTGATTATTTTCGTGCAAAGTTATCCTTGAAGGAACTTTCACAGATAGAAATATAAATCATTAATTAAATCTAAATATAATATGAAAATAAAAGTTTTTAGACTTAACTTAATAAAGCTTATTACGTATTATATATTTATAATATACTGTTAATTGAACCTCATATTTTATTAAACATTTTCATTTCTCACGACAAAAAAATATTCCTCAGTACTTGGTTAAGATCTATGGATAACATTTGCTTATTTTCGAGCAAAGTTAAAGTCAAAGGAACATTCGCATCAGAAATATGAATAATTAAGTAAATCTAAATATGATATAAAAGTAAAAGTTTTCCATTACAGACCAAACCACGTGTCTCCTAGGTCTACCCTGCCTAAGAATACCTTTTCAGAAAAATAAAAAAGGTAAAAATATTTTAAAATAATGTATAGACGTGGAATCCTACAGAAAAATAATGGGGAGAACTTTTCCTATTACCAAATAAGCCAAATTGTTCGTTCTTTTTTCTTATTAGAAAAAGTAATTATCTATTAAACCTACAATCTAAAACTGTACGAAGGAAATTAGGAATAGCAGGACGAAAGAGACCTTTTCCATTGCTCATGTCAAAAAAATATTCCTCAGTACTTGGTTAAGATCTACTTAACTTAATAAAACTTATTGCGTATTAAATATTTATATATGTTATACATTGAATCACATATTGTATTAAACATTTTCCATTAAAGACTTATTACATATTGTATATTTATAATATACTGTAAATTGAACCTCATATTTTATTAAACATTTTCATTGCTCTTGAAAAAAAAAAAATTCCTCAATACTGGATAAGATCTATGTATAACATTTGCTTGTTTTCGAACAAAGTTATACTTGAATTAAATTACTAATTAAAATTACTAATTAAAAACTAATAAAGACTTATTACGTATTATATATTTATAATATACTGTAAATTGAACCTCATATTTTATTAAACATTTTCATTGCTCTTGAAAAAAAAATATTCCTCAATTCTGGATAAGATCTATGTATAACATTTGCTTGTTTTCGAGCAAAGTTATACTTGAATTAAATTACTAATTAAAATTACTAATTAAAAACTATTAAAGACTTATTACGTATTATATATTTATAATATACTGTTAATTGAACCTCATATTTTATTAAACATTTTCATTTCTTTAAATTTTACACGACATTTGAAAAATGGCAAAAAGGAGGGAAAAATCAAAAGGTGGGGTTGAGATGGGAAGTTACTGCCCGAGTGGATCGAGGTCACGATAGCTCAAGTGGTAGAGTAGCGTATCAAGCCGAAGGTCGTGGGTTCGAATCCCGCTCGTCACACTGACTTTTTTATCTCTACTTAAAAACCTTAATTAATTGAATGTTATTAATTGGTCAAGCGGACCACGAAAAATAGTGAATTTTCATTTTTCTAGAGAAAAAAATATTCCTCAGAACTTGGTTAAGATCTATGGATAACATTTGCTTATTTTCGAGCAAAGTTATCCTCAAAGGAACTTTCGCAGATAGAAATATGAATAATTAATTAAATCTAAATATAATATGAAAATAAAAGTTTTCCACTAAAGACTTAATACATATTATATAATTATAATATACTGTAAATTAAATCTCATATTTTATTAAACATTTTAATTTTTCGTGTCAAAAAAATATTCCTCAGTACTTGATTAAGATCTATGGATAACATTTGCTTATTTTCGAGCAAAGTTATCCTCAAAGGAACTTTCGCAGATAGAAATATGAATAATTGAATAAATTAAATATAATATGAAAATAAAAGTTATCCATTAATGACTTGTTACATATCATATATTCATAATATATTATAAATTGAACCTCGTATTGTATTAAATATTTTCAATTCTCTTGATCAAAACAAAAAAATATTCCTCATTCGTTATGGTGTATGGATAACATTGACTCATTTTGAGCAATGTGATCTTCAAAAATCAACTTTTTCTACTGTGCGGTATATTTCGATGACTGAAATATTATGCTACAGGCGATGATTGTTTAAAAGTTTAAAAGTGATGGATATTTATTAAGGCTATACATTGGTATGTCAGAATTGTATTTTGATAAATCATAATGTTATCACTGATCAGCTCATCAATTTTAAAAGGTATGATCAGACCATTCATTAAAAATTATATCTTTCAATATTTGTTTGACAACGGTAATTAAATATTCCGTATATATTTTAGTAATTTGTATAAACCAATTTTGTTGGCATGACAACAGAGTGAAATTTATAATTGATTTTATTACTTACTTAACGGAATGATGCTCGGAACGGATTTACCAGGTGAGCATGCCTGAGATGTAGATCGAGTCCCACGTGATAAGAGAAGGTTGGAAGTGGTTCGCAGCAACTGCGAGTCCGCAACACAACTGGAACACAACTGGAAAAGAGTGAGGCGGTTTTGTGGCACCCGTGGCCGGGAATAGCGGGGGGCCGGTCGGCGAGGCGGCCGTTCTACATTTCCATTGGCCCGAGTTGTGGCGTGACCCGCAACAACCTGACTCACGCTTACCTGGTCTACGACTTACAACTGTCGCCTTCACGAATGAATGTCCCATTCATTCCGGCCAATAAAACAAAAACGATCCGTCAATTTTCTTATTTATAATTCACCTAGTCTCGCCAGCAAGCGAAATAGTAGAAACATTTTTTTTAAAATAACATATCGGATAGTTTTTAAGACTTAAATTTCAAGCGCGTTGTAACTTTACAGCAGAAAGCACACTCCTTCTTTCATGTCGGTGGATTTTTGAAATGTACAAAAAGCTGAGTCCGATCACTGATATCGCCCCAAAACTGTTGGAGAAAAGAAAATAAGAATTGTGTCCTTCAATTTCGGGAAAAGACCAAAGGGCTTTCATTAACACCGAAGATTGCCAGTTGTAAATATTGCCTAAGAGTACCAAAATACACTTCTCACTATTGAGTAGTTATATGACGTCAAGAAGTGTTTGATGAGCATATTTATTGCGATTTTTACGGTATGAACAACCATGCAACAACTCCAACAAATTAATTAAAGAAAAGAAAAATCGGGATCTGATCGAAATTAATTAAAGCAATAACCTTTTAAAATACATGTATTAAAATTAAAACATAAAATATAAGCCTCCCTCCTAATTTACAATAAAAAAAGAGGTGCCTTATAACGTTGAGTAAGTGATCCTTGCTCGTCCTTTCAGGTCTCAGCTCGCTCTGAGGAGCCTGCAGTTGTGGATTAGCTTATCCTAAGCCAAAGGATAATCCTTGTAGTTAAAAATATTTTTATAAAAAATCCCCCCTCCCAAAAAAAACTAAAATAGAAAAAAGAAAACCGAGCTTTACTACCAATATTTATTACGGTCTTTCCGTGGATCCTCTTCACATCCAGCAACTCGTGTCACTCACGAGTATGAACATCCATGCAACAATTCAAACAAATTAATTAAAGAAAAGAAAAATCTGGATCTGATCGAAATAAATTAAAACAATAAACTTTTAAAATAAATGTATTATAATTAAAACATAAAATAAAATAGTGATCAGTAATATATTTATCTCCTTGCTAATTTACAATTTAAAAAAAAAGTAAAAAAAATTAGAGGTGCCTTCTATAACGTTGAATAAGACTCGTCCTTTCAGGACTCAGCTCGCTCTTCCCAGTCTTGAATGGGGGTTAGCTTATCCTAACCCAAAGGATAATCCTTGTAGTTAAAAATATTTTTATAAAAAATCCCCCCCCCCAAAAAAAAAGAAAAACTTAAAGAGAAAAAAATAAAACCGTAACAATATATCTGTGCCACAACTCAAACAAATTAATTAAAGAAAAGAAAAATCGAGATCTGATCAAAATAAAGTGATCAGTAACATACATATCTCCTTGCTAATTTACAATAAAAAAAAAAAGAGGTGCCTTCTATAACGTTGAATAAAAGGTCTTGCTCGTCCTTTCGGGTGTCCTGCCGAGCCTTGATTGGGGATTAGCTTATCCTAACCCAAAGGATTCTTTTTGTTTAAAAAAATTTAATTCCCCCCCCAAAAAAAAACAAAAAAAAACTAGCTCTACTACCAATATTTATTACGATTTTTGCGTGGATCCCCTCACATCGAGCAACTCTAGTCACTCACGAATGTGAACAAATATCTGTGCACAACTCGAACAAATTAATTAAAGAAAAGAAAAATCGGGATCTGATCAAAATAAAGTGATCAGTAATATACGTATCTCCTTGCTAATTTACAAAAAAAGAAAAAAAAAAGAGGTGCCTTCTATAACGTTGAATAAGAGGTCCTTCCTCGTCCTTTCGGGTGTCCTGCCGAGCCTTGATTGGGGATTAGCTTATCCTAACCCAAAGGATAATGTTTTTTGTTAAAAAAAAATTAATTCCCCCCCCAAAAAAAAAACTGAAACAGAAAATAGAAAGCCAAGCTCTACTACCAATATTTATTACGATCTTTCCGTGGATCTCCTCCTCATGGAGCAACTCGTGTCACTCATGAATGTGAACAAATATCCGTGCCACAACTCCAAGAAATTAATTAAAGGAAAGAAAAATTGGGACCTGAAAATAAGTATTAAAATTTAAAAAATAAAATAAAGAGATCAGTGACAGCGTATCTCCTTATCATTTACAATAAAAAAAATAGGTGCCTTCCGCAACGTTGAATAAGAGGTCCTTCCTCGTCCTTTTGGGTGTCCTTCCGAGCCTTGATTGGGGATTAACTTATTCTAAGCCAAAGGATAATCCTTGTTGTTTAAAAAATTTATTTACCCCCCCCCCCCACAAAAGAAAGAGGGAAAAAAGAAAGCCGAGCTCCACTACCAATATTTATTACGATCTTTCCGTGGATCCCCTCACATCGAGCAATTCGTGTCACTCACGAGTGTGAAATAAATTAAAACCATCACTTTTTAAAATAAGTGTATTAAAATTAAAAAAATAAAATAAAGTGATCAGTGACAACGTATCTCCTTGCCAATTTACCATTAAAAAAGAGGGGCTTTCTATAACGTTGAAAAAGGGGTCCTTCCTCGTCCTTTCAGGTCTCACAGCTCGCTCTGCGTAGCCTACAGTTGTGGATTAGCTTATCCTAACCCAAAGGATAATCCTTTTAGTTAAAAATATTTTTATAAAAAATCCCCCCCAAAAAAATAACTAAAAGAGAAAAAAGAAAACCGAGCTCTACTACCAACATTTATTACAATCTTTCCGTGGATCCCCTTCACATCGAGCAACTCTTGTCACTCGCGAATGTGAACAAATATCTGTGCCACAACTCGAACAAATTAATTAAAGAAAAGGAAAATCGGGATCTGATCGAAATAAAGTGATCAGTAACATATTTATCTCCTTGCTAATTTACAATTAAAAAAAAAGTGGTATGTTCGATAACGTTGAAAAAGAGGTCCTTCCTCGTCCTTTCAGGTCTCAGCTCGCTCTGGGGAGCCTGCAGTTGTGGATTAGCTTATCCTAACTGAAAGGATAATCCTTGTAGTTAAAAATATTTTTATAAAAAATCCCCCATCAAAAAAAAAGAAAAACTAAAAGAGAAAAAAAATAAAACCGTACCAATATTTATTACGATCTTTCCGTAGATCGCCTCCACATCGAACAACTCGTGTCACTCAGGAATGAACAAATATCCGTGCCACAACTCCAAGAAATTAATAAAGGAAAGAAAAATTGGGACTCATTGATTGGGTTCCTATGCCACAGAAAATTTCGGGTCCTATCAGCCGTATAGCAGCCCCTTTTCTTGTAAGGTGTCCGCTTTCTCGTGGCTTTCTACTTCCATACGTCCTGGGACCCAGCAGAGGCTGACTTTGTGCTGCCTACCTGATATGTTTAATTTGGTTTTGCAATTCAACACCATCTTTGAACTAATTATGCATTAGCTTAGCGTTTTGATGGTTACTTGGCTATCTGACATGATAGGTATGTTCTTGTTCTTGAACCGAATTGCGTAGACCACAGCTTGGAAGATACTGGTGTATTTTTCCATGGGTCCTGAGTATTTGGTTCTAGGACCGAATATCCTGTACGTTCTTGAGTTCTAGATCCGTCTGTGTACCAGAAAATGGTGCCGTTCTTAAAGGAGGTGCTTTCCTCTCGTTCCAATCTTTTTCGGTACCTAAGTTTGTTTGGAAGTTTTGATTAAATTCAAACATCCTGTTGATGTCGGGGCAAGGAGGTATTCAGGCTTTCGTCAATTAAGGCGACGTGGTGGGTTGTCCGGATGGGAATGTGTAGAGAAAGCTCGGGCAGTAGGGTTAGGATGGATTGAGAGGTCTTTGTGAAACTTTTGGAATCGGTAACGGATCAGTTCGTTGACAAAAGTAATGTTGAGACCGTTGTGGATATTGAGGTTAGTGTCGTAATATGGAGCTTTGACAATTTATCTAAGGACTTTTGACTGGAAGGATTGGATGCGCTGGATATTGCATAGCTTGGCAGAACCCCAGATCCACCACTCCGTGTCCAAAATGGTCGCATTAAAGTCTTGACGTTAGTTTAGTTTTGATGGTCAGGGCAGAATTTTGTCCTAGAAATCTTCGTAGTTGACCAAGTCTTCTGTTGAGTATCTGTCTCTTAAGTCTTGTATGGGGATTCCACGTCAATCTGCTGTCTAGGTACAGTCCTAAGTATTTGACTTGACTGGCCTTTGTTGTTGAAGTACAAAGGATGGCAAGACTGTTCTTAACATAAATGTACATTGAATACATTTTTCTTCATTCTGTTTTGCCTTCCACTGTTTGCCCCAGTCTTCGATAAGTTCAAGGTGTTCTCGGATGTTGGAGGGAGCTTGGAAAAGATTCGAGGGAGAGGACAAAACTGTGGTATCGTCCGCGTGATGACGGTATTAGAGTGACAGGTAGGTCAACATTATAAATGATATAAAGTATAGGACCGAGAATTTTCCCTTGTGGGACGCGGGCCTATTGTGGAAAAGACAATTTATTTCGTATCCATCATCTACGCTCCCAGGGCTGACACCGTCTATAAAATACGAAGGAGTTTGCCGGGAAGTGTTCAAACACCTACAAAAAGATAATACGCATGGGCAAAATTGAACATAAGAAACACAATTACCCGACGCAACGCAACTCGACGCCTTATCTCGTTTTGCTCGGGTAAGAAAAACCACCATCAAGACCTTACACCAAGGAGCCGCTGGCAAAGCTGTGAGGCTGGCTAATAACCTGAAGCTGGCCAGTGAGTTGTAAAAAAACAGGGGAGCACCACAGATCAATTCAGGTCGAGATGCAGTAGGCTTTGTGGCTGCCTCTTTTACCCCTACCCCTATTCCAAGTAGAGCTAAATAAGCCAATGCAAACTGCTTTCAAATTTTTTGAAAGGAGGTGTGAGGATAGATGTCTAGGTGCCAATGGGTCTTTTAGGCTGCATTGGAAGAAAGGGAGGCTATCATCACCAGGAAGAAAAAAACCTGCTAAAACTTGTAAATATTATAGAAATAATAATTCGATTCACTTTTTCTCCACCATTTACAAAAAATTTAAATGTTATTTCCCAATTATGACCGGTTGAACGTTCTTCGTAAAAACCAAATACGCTTGAATTAAGTTGCGCCATCGTCTTATTTTCTTCTGACACCGTTGAATCGAGTCGTAATACTTTTTTGATCATTTAGTGCGAACAGATAATAGTTAATCGTCCAGAAAATCGTCTAAGCGAATTGCAAAAAGCTATCCCCCGTATTAAAACGGCACGTATAAAGGTTAATAACTTACTTTCCAGTTTTTCTCCACGGCCATGTGAAA